GAAAGAGGTGCATCTTTTAAAATAGTTTTTCCAATATTTCAGAAACCATTGTAGATAAAATTACAAAATTTGGTACAACTAATAACCTTTATACACCCAAACGAGTTCAAAGATGAAATGTCGAAATTTTTACTGACAAGCGTCCTAAACTGGGGGGTTTAGGGTAAAAAGTACCCAAACTATTTTGGCTGTTGGTTCTTGCCACTTTCAGACAGAAAGTTCCAAATTTCATAGTTTTTCACAAAAAAGAGGCTTCTTGCGTTTTTTCGATACAATTTATCGTTTTTGAGTAAAATCAATTTACAATTTGTTTTACAGACCACAAAGCGGATAAAAATTAAAAATTAAATTCGACTAAAAATTTTGACAACTGATCTTTGAATGCGTTAAGGGGTTTATCAGCTGTACCAACTTTTGTAATTTTATCTATTCTGCAACAGTGGAAAAACCCCATTTAAAACACATCTCTTTCAAGGGGTGTAGCTCGCTTACATAACATTTTTTGATACATGTTCATAGGAAACTATTAAAATTGAATATTCTTTCACCTGTTTAAATTTGTAACAATAAAAAGGGAACATCCTGTATATCACGCAGTTGCGACGTTGCTATTGTGGCGATAGCGATGGTACGAGGTATAAATGAGGCCTTATAAATTGATAATTAAAGGTGTCAGTCATTAGTATGATGGAAATTAGTTGTCCCGTTTTTTATGAAAATATTTATATTTATTTGTTTTATTAATTTTTTGAAAAAAATATTTGATGAATGATAAAGTATGTACTATAAAAATGTGAAAGTTTCTCAAAAATAAAATTTTTCAGATTTTTGTTTTGTTTTTAAGTTTACAAAATTTTTATTTTTTTCAAATGGCAACCCAATATAAAAACTTTTTTTAAAGTTTATGAAAAATCGCATAATTAATAATCAAAACTTCATTCTCAAAACACGATCACATTTTTTGTAGCACTTTAAATTAATTGATTAAATTTTTATTAAACATTATTTTCTAAAGGCAAGTAAGTAAAAAAAAACACGCTTGGTCCCATACTTGTTGTTCACCTTATATGTATATGAATACTAAACAAGTTTAATTGTTGTATCTGATGGATGTATTAGACTTATTAAAAAAAAATATGAATCTGCTTATCGTTCACCTACAATTAACTCTTAAGTATGAAATAACCTCCCTACCTTTAGAACAATCAGGCGTCTCAGAATGTGTGGGTGTAGGTGGACCTTCAACTACAGTTCCTGTATGATTAGTGTCTACACTTAGAGAAGTATGCACTGCACTATCCCCAGAAACAGTCTGCCTTTGCAAACCTATAGAACCATGCGAGTTTTTATCAGAATTATCTGTAGGCGTAGTCTGTGACATAATTCGGGGTAAACTTCCAAGAGTTGTTGGAGGCCCAGGCGTGTTTGATATTGTCACGGTCGTGGGCACGGGCATCATCGAGGGTGTACTCTGTGGTGACGATTCAGGTCGTCCTGGTGTCGAGGGCATATGAATAGGGTGTGAAATTAATCGAGGCAATGCGTTTGCCAATAAAACAGGTCCCAGTGTATTTTGTTCGGCCGTCTGTTGGCTCGAACTATTCCCGTAGGATATCTCGGACGTTGGCGTGCTATCGCCTGGAGAGATATCCATATCTTGTGTCGACTGCACGTTCTCATCTGCATGCTTCCTCGATCTGCCATCTTTGACGGGAACGTCACTGTCGTCACGGCTACTACTACTGCTCCAGTGTCGGCTTCCCGTCGCGCTATCTCTTGCTCCTTCCTTCGTACTGCTACTGCTGTTCGGCGCTCGCGAGTTGGAATGTTTATCATGCCCTGTTTACAATTTGGACAATATTAATTTTGATGCAAAGTGAACTCCAGTGATACTTACGCGTACCGGAGCGGCTGTAACAACGATCCGAGTCTCGTTCTCTGTCCCGTTCTCTACTCCTAAATCGGTCTCTTTCTCGTTCTATCCATTCCCTTGGTTTTTCCCATTGCGATACTTCGGTTTTGCAATTGTAATAATATTTTTTACCCGACGAACTTACATGCTCCGACCAATCACCTACTCTAGCAACCCTTTCCCGATCATCCCTCTGAAATAAAATACTAACATTAAAAATCATCAAACATTACCAACAAGAATTTGCCAAAACTACTGGTATTGTTTCTGTTATGTTTAGTAAAAAACCCTTTTATTTCAACTGTCAATTTGACAGGTATAAAACAATATTCACTGTGTGTTTGATAATGTAATACAAAACTTGTTAAACATTTTTCAAGAATAATCTGCCATAATACTAATACTAATGGTAATAAAAAAATGTTATTAACAAACTAAGCTAACGTTTTTGACGTAATTTTTCACTTAGGAGGAATTGTTATGTGACCCTCGATATATAGTTTAACTTCGAAAATGGAAGATCCATTTTTCACAATCAAAGTATGGTTCTAAACAGTAGGGTAACACTAACAATCGATTTTTGTTGATAAAATTACAAAACTCTCAACGACCTTGCCTTCTAGATCATTTACAGAACCTCGAAAATTTCCCAAAAAACTTTAAAATACTCTTTCTAATTTTTCTAATTTTTTTTGATCGAGGTTAATTTATAAAATTTTTAACTATAATTAAAAAAAGAAGGGACAACGGAGAAAAGACAAAAGAAATGATAACAATTAAAAAAAAAGAAAAAATAATGGATTATTATTGAATGTTAACTTATGTAAATGCATACATATTTAAAAAAAGAAGCATTGTACCGGCTTAAGTTCTATATTGATAAACTTGGCTTTTGTAATAATATATTATATTGTGAGGAAAATATGTTATAAAAAAGTATGTTCTTTGAACTTGCGTATTAACACAGTAGCAAAAAAATGTACACTTTACCACATGTACATAAGCAATTTTTATGTAGAACAATCTGCATCTTTTTGGTGCAGATGAAGTATTGTATGCTAGATAGCAAACATTTACTAAAAATAACTTTTCTATAAGTTCGACCAAACTGTTATATAAAAAACAAAAAAGACAACAAGCCTTAGGAAATAACTAACATTTTACACTATGTTCAAGAAGTAACGTTATGAGATCAAAAAAGTTATGACCAAATAAAAAAACAAATACTAAATAAGAAACGTTAACGTTTACGTATGTGTAGTTGAACAATAAAATAAACAGTATTAACATTTCTTTGTCTAGCTAGTTCAATTTTAACGAATGTGGCTATTTTTTTGCAACTGAATTGAGAATTTAAGTACATAAAATATTAATGGCTGCATAACATTTACTTAAAATCCGTCCTCAGCTTCCAAATAAAAAAAATACTTAACTAGTTATATTCATCTGTTAGATTATTTGAGTCTGGTTACTTTTATTGCAGTTATTTAATAAAACAATAACAAAATATTAACCACAACTTGTATGTGTGTGGTTTCTGTTCCTGCTTACCTTATCCACAGAATTATTGTGTACTGGTTTCCTATCCCTAGAAGACAGGTTTTGGGACATTTTTATTGGATGTAAAATGCTTTTCTCATCATTTCTGTCATTGTTGGTCCTGTGCTCAGATTCTCTGCTGCGCTTATCCTTTGGCGATCGGGCACAATCTAAAATGATAAATCAGAAATGAAAAATTCAACAATTTTGTCAATAACAAAACGGTACCTGAATACTTGTCTCTTGACATTTTATAGTCTCTATTTTCTCTCTCCTTTTCACGTATTTTCTGTAGGTAGGAGCTCTTTGATTGATAAGATCGATCACGGTCTCTGGGAGATTGAGAATCTGGGCTGTCCGACCGATAATTACCATTTGGAGAATCCCGAATTCTCTCATACCTTTCACTAGTGGATCCATAACCCTTCGATGAACTATACTTCGAATTCTATCAGGGAATGTTAAAAATGTTAAAAATAATACAATTTTATCACGATTTTCAGCAATTTAAGTCTAAAAAAACTCATAACTAAATAGTTTAAACGAATTACGCAAATATAAATAAACTGCGGCAAGTAGGTTAGGTTATATCTGCAGAAGGTAGCCATGTTTACTATTGTTTTGACGAACATTTTTCCGCCGAATTTTCTTTCTAGCCGTTTTGTTGGAACTCAAACTTGCATAAATATGATCAAAACTTCAAAGGTGATGCACAAACTTAACCAAAATAAGCCTTTTCAACAATTTTGTCTTGAAACTAATTGAACATAGCCAACTATGGTCATTGTTATAATCAGTCTAATTTTACTTGTGATAAGACAAAGTATTAAGTAATTGTTTTGAAATTGATTTTGCATTATTATAAACAAACAAAAAAAACGTTTTCTTTCGTTATAATTAGGAAGTTCATGTTTACCTGATAGGGATGGGCTTGGTGCTTCTCGAAGTACCTAGACATAAAAACAAAACGTATTAGTATTAAAAAAGGTCCTTAAAGGCATTAAAACAATTTGAAAACTCCAAAATTCCTTTAATGCCCCTGAGGTTGTGTCAATAAGACACTGGTGCCTACCCATCGCTCATCCGTTGAGTTTTCCTTGCATGCATTACCATCAATGCAAGTCTCTAGGAAATGTTTGTGGCTTTCACAGCAAGCCGATTTGTATGAAAAGGTCATAAAAAAACAATAAAAACGTTTGAAACCGATCAAGAACTGACTTTCCTACCAGACGCCATGTCACATAAGGGAACAATTTGCAGCTGAAGGTAAATGCTCCTAATTTCTTCCGTTGTCTCATTGGTTGACGTAAGGAAACGTTCCATCTACCAACATTGCGAATGCAAACACACTAGTGCTCCATGTATTTTATTAAAGTTTTTGGAATATGTCTTACAACTATTGTAAATAAACACTAGAAAATAAACAAGCAATTCATTCTCAACACAACTGTTGCTATTAAATATATTTTATTGTTTATCCAATAACAACAATTTTGAACAACTTTTGGAGATTTTATGAAACATGTTGGCGGCATTGAAGTTACTGATCATCACGTATATCAAAAGGAAAAAAATACAACAATAAATAATGTAATATGATGGTGTAAAAGAATTCAATTTGTTTAAAGTAAACATCAGGTTTTTGTATCCTTTTTACGATTAAGTTGTTAAATTTGAGAATTTTTTTGGAGACAGAATTAAACCATTTTACTTCACAATGGAATTTGCCCTCAAATAGCATGAGTATGTTATAAAAACATTTCTGTACCTCTTAAGACCCAGTACTACTGGGTTATCACAGAAATTTAATCATATTCCAAGTAATATGGTTGCTAATGTTGCAGCACTTAATCTAACAACAGTGCTATTCGACAGTATCTTCTAAAGGTTTGAATAACAAATGTGTGTTTACCTTTTCTGTTGAAAATTGTTTTTGAGTCTCTTCTTTTTAGATCAAATAACAACAGCGATGTTTGCAAGTCTTTTGGATGGTCAGTATGATTCATATCAAGCAAGTTCTTCACACAGATTGGTTAATTCAGTCAGAAGGTATTTAACCTAATTAAATCTACAATCTTTACCTATTGAACAAAGGAACACAAGCTGAAGATTTTGTGAAACTTTCAACTGTTTTACAATTTGCATTTTATTTTTTTAACGAGTATCATTTTTAAAGTCAATGTTTATTATCAATTTTTTTTAATGCATGCTCAATTTATTGTCAAGAACTCATATTAAGAAGAAAGAAGAGTATTATCCAAGAAGAACATTAGAGGATTATTTAAAGACGTAGTAATCTTTTATATGGTAGTAATTGTTTTCAATATTATTTTAAAATTGTTCAGTGATTTTTATAAAAAGTCAAAAAGTAGTAATGCATCTCGTCTGGGACAAGAAACTCCAGTTTTCAACGTCTTCCAAGAAGAAAGAAGAAGTCTAACTTAAATTTTTGTTAAATATGTAGAAAATATGTAACATGTGACTGCCTTTTCTAGTCATTTATAAAAGTAGATTATTCATTAAGTGCAATTTAATTTTTATATACATGTTACACTCTTACTGTCGTTTTAAAACCAATTTTTGTAGTTATATAAATGCAAAATTGGAACATGAGCAGACAACTCCCGAATTCGTCGCCGAAGTACGACGAGTATTGTATTTTATTCATGAATACAATTGCCAGGTGTTGAAGGTTTGTAATTGAAGTCTTGAAATTTTTCATGATTTATCTTTTTGTAATTGTAGGAAACTCATCATTATCCACGCTCAAGAAAATTTGATTTACTTCTAGTTAAATATGTAGAGTTAGAATTTGATGCTTTGTATTATAATAATCCGCATCCTCCACGACAACTCGAAGTTACTACTGAATTAAGAGTTTCGCGGGTACTTCAGGTGATGTTATATCAAGCCGTCCTTAACAATGAAACACTAGTGACAAAAAGTACTGATTACGTATTGAAAAAAGCGGTTTTGCAACTGTTAGGCGAAGTAAGATCAACGTATTTGATTAAAAATAAGTTGGTTTATAATATCGCAAAGTAAGCAAAGTGCTACTTTTCGTACTTTTTGTTCCATGTTTTATATTTGTAGTGACCTCCTTGAGAAGATTAATCAACCAAATGACAACAAAAACTTTCCACCTTGGGAAATTAATAAAAGTCTCGCCACTAGCGATTATGGAACTGATAGTGATTCCGAGGGCGAAAATAATGTATCATAATGTTCTGCGATTATTTTTTAATTTTCTAAAATATGTATTTGTAGGTATTTGCCACAAATGTATATAATAGTAGTCAAGAAAAGATACCAGTTTCTCAGACATCTGGTCATATTTATTCCACACCTACTACTGAGTTTGCTGATGACAATTATTTCGTTTATTTACAAAAACAAGTAGATAACAGTAATTTTGATAAACTTGATACAAAAAGAAGTTCTTATGAAGTGAACAGCAATAATTTCAACGCAAAATATTCTAAATCAACTTCGGTTGCAAGCAATAATTTGAAAAAAAACAATAGTTTGGAAGCTGCTTGTGTTATCGTTTCTTCAGATTCTGAAGATGAAGAAGAGATTGCAGAAGTGCTCCCAAGTGACGCCAAAGTCTGCAATAAAAGAAATTCTAGTAAAAAGAGCAACGAATGTAGTAAAAAATTAAAAACTAATAAGTCAATTGTAACGTTTGAAATACTTGATGATGATGACGATGATGAAACAAATTACATGGTTTATTTACACAAAGAAGTGAAAACAAATAAAAGATCTAAATCCCCAAAACAAATGAAGCAGGACGATATAATAATTTGTTCAGATTCTGAAGATGAATTAGAAAACAGCACAGAAAATGTTTTGAAAAATGGGGAAGAAGACGCACGAAATAGTGTTGACCAAACGGTACCTGAAACAAATGACAATGGTATTTCAAACAGTGAACTGTGTTCCGACCAAACGTTGGAACTTGCCTGTGCTGAAAATATAGAACAAAATAATTTCACTGAAGAAAGATTAAATATTGATGAGAAATATAAAGAGATTAATGAAGTATTACAAACGGATCTAGACTTTATTCAAATTTCAAGTGGATTTTGCGATGAAACAAGTGAAAAATTTTTGATAGATCCTTCTTTAATTCTTGAACAAATAACGCTTCCACAAAGAAATAAAGAGGAAGTTTCTGATTTAAGTTTAGAGGAGTGTGGATCAAACATCTTAGGTGAGTATTCTTTTACTTATACAATAATTTTCCGTTAAAAATTTTCATTTTAGGTGGCCCAGTTTTGAGCGAAACAATCGACAGTCTAGAAGAAATTGAATTGGACACTTCACAGGAGTGTCGCTTAAATGACAGTTTGTTAGTGGAAGTTCTTGACGACAGTTTTCTCTTAGGACGAAAAGAATTTGAAGAACTTGAGCATTTTCTTTTTGATGATGGTGCAGAAAAGCCAGGATTTTTCTTGTCGGATTTTTCTTTTGATGATGATGACACTGTTACACAACCGGCAACGTTTGATGCTGATATGAAAAGTCTAGAGTCGATATTGGAAAATACACAATTATTTAACATGCAGAGCAAACAAACAATTGTGAGTGAGTGTGAAAATTGTACTTTAACGGATTACAAAAGCAAAGATAAAGAAAATTTTGTAAATGTAAAAAACAAAAGGCCTATTCACAAAAGAAAAAGAAAATTCAGAACTAAGCAGAGAAGAAGCAGAAGGTGACGAATGTATTTACATTCAAGGGACTTTAATGTTAAAGCATTTGTTACTACGCACAACGTGTTTTTGACATAATTTCAGATGAAATTTTGTTACGTTTCTTTTAATTACAATTACTGAATTATTATGCTGTGTTACAATCAACTTATGAAACTGTGAAAAGGACTTATCATTGTGGTATTTTTTATAGTCTAGGCCAGGTATTGTAATTTCATTGTGAATTGTTAATTTGTTAGTAAATCAGAGTGCATATTTTTCTAATATTTATTTGTAGTTGTATGTTAATTTATTTCTGTAAAGTAAAGCTTTTTTGTACAATATTATGTGAAAAGTTAATAAATACGTTTATAACTTCTTATTTAACATTGTCTTATTTTTATTTTATTTTGAAAAAAAATGGTTTTAGAGAACACGCTGTATATTAGATACGTGACCTTACTTTTAAAAAAAGAACTAGAAAAGGAAAGATAATAAGCAGCAACATAACAGATAAAAATACACTAACATGGAAAATTAAAATATTATCATAACAAAGAAAAATTGAAACAAAATTACGAAATGTTTAATTTTAGTAAAAAAATAGGCTGATAAGTTGATCAAGATAGATACTTATCATTTACGTGTGGATTTACATATATTTTTCAAAATAAATCTTTAAGTTGGCGACGTGAAAGTTACTAATCTGTCATCTTCCTCCCCTCACCAACAATTACAACAAAAACAATTACCCTTGCACCCAGGAAAATTTGTTGTGCATTTTTTTCCTTAAAAGAATGGTTATTTAGTATTTATTTTTTTTTTATAAATTGGGATAAATGAGGTAAGTGTTCTGTATATTAAGCTGGTGTTAATGGAGGTTTGTGGTGACGATTGAAACTAGTAGCTAGTTCAGTGTTCACATTGTTTGGTTAGTTAATTCTAAGATTTGCATGAGTTTTTTTGGCAATTTTTTGTATTTGTGCATTACATCTGTGTGTTTTGTTTAATACTTGAATGAATTCTTTTCAGGGAGCAATGGCTCTATATCAGAATAGAGTGAGCCATCTGGTTTTTAAAGATTTTATACCCCACAAAGGAAAAGGTATGATATAATTTGTTTAGTTATATGTAAGTACTCGTAAAAGTTATTAATGTATTGAAAACGAACAAAATTGATTTTGGACTTGGTACAAATTTTTCTGGGCCATGGACAAAGCAGTGTCTATCCTTGCACAGAATAACGATTCATTGATTTTTAGCTATCTGAATCAGATAACAACAAAATACCTACTCTTTTGTTTAATTTCACAATTTGGTTATTAAAGAGTTATTTTTTGCTTAAATTATAATTATGCAACATTATTTGTGAATTTTGTGTAAATATAAAGGAAAAATATTTAGGATTAAACCTTTAATAGAAGCTTAAGAAATTCCAGCGTGAAGAATAAAATAAATGCTCTTTTATTTATGACAGTTATTACTTTTAGAGCGCAAATAATGCAGCAATTATTTTGAAAAAAAAACATATCAATCTCTTATTTTTAACAGTTTAAGTAAGTGTGGTAAATACTTTCACAAAAGTAGTGTTTTTTTTTCATTTTCTGGATGGAGGGATGGTAACGACAAATTTCACAGTTCTTATTAAACAATAAATATTTATTTACAAACAGTTGTATTTTCAATCAACACCCAATAAACATTAAGTACATAAAAAGTAATTAACTACCACCTAACTACGCTTAGAACTAGGAAATAAATATGTTTACCCACAACCACTCTATGAAGAGACTTTATTCCACACTTTAGATGCGTATCAAGTACCGCTTTATCCACTAGTGGAATAAAGTAACTTTATTCCACTAGTGGATATTATAGTGGAATAAAGTAACTTTATTCCACTGTTAGTAACCAGCGCACCGCGTAACACCTTACTACGTTTGGCACATTTGGCGTGACGTTTAAATGTCAGTTTAATTTTTAATTAAGTTTGGAATAATTTGGGCCTGTGATTGTGGATAAAACGTTATATTGCAGTCGTGTGTTTGTCGCATCTTATCCACTTAAGAAAATTAACCGCTCGAACTGACGTTCTCGTGATTAAACATTCTTGCGTGGATAAAACGCTATCTAACACACTCTTACAATAAATAACTAAAATTATATATGAAAATAATTTTTAGGACGGATATCGATATCAAGACAACTACTTAAAGCACATTGCGATGGCTATCATCCACATATTTCAAGGCAATTGGCAACAGAACTTAAAAGGTAGTTTAGTTAAATTAATTTTTAATTCAATAAGAAGAAAATATGGAGTGGGTTTTCTTAATTATCTCGAAAATATCTGGAACGTTTGGAAGAACATGAAGAAAGCAAGAAGGAACACTTTGCAACATAAAAAAAATAACAAAATTTTATTTTCCTAGTAGAAATAACAGTAATTTAATTTTAACAATCAAGTTGTAGTTTTTGCATATACATACAACCAACATTTAGAATTAAAATGTTTCAAGATACTTTTTTTGTTTTATAAAGTTATTGCTTATTTTACTCTATTTCAATTCAATTAGTACATTTTGTTTATTAAACACACCTGAAAAAGAAGATGAACTCAAGAAATCATTAGTGAAGAAGCTGCAGAAGAATCATCAAGACATGAAATGGACCAGGGACCGTTTGAATGAGATTGCTTCTATTTTTTGACTTTATTATGATAGCTATAATCGTTTTTCTTTAATATACCGTCAAGTGTAATTTATGTACTTAATTAATACTTTTATACATATATTTTTGAAAGTTAACGTTATGAGTAGTAAGGAATCATATTTAAAATTTTTAAATTGTAATTAAAAATACGATATCTTCAATATCAGCAGTTTTCGCAAACAAATACACTACATTAAGGTAATTAGTAATTACTACCAATTGTATTCTAATAAGCAACTGCTTTTTGGGATTCAAAAATTAATTTTGCTGGGCGTTTTAGGTTCATCAAATCTCAGCCAAAACATAAAAGAAGATCTCCAGAATTTGTTGATGATATTCGAAGAAAAATTATTTGTTTACATGAATATAATTTACAAACTGCTAACGTAAAAATTCTATGATTTTAATTTCGTGTTGAATTTATTTCAAAATTTGCAGGTAAAACTAAAATATCCCAGATCAGAACAACTGGAAGCTATATTAATAAAATACATAGAACTAGAATGTGAACTGTTGTATAGTTTCTCCAAGAAGGTAGGTAAAGAACATGAAGAAGGTGTAACACAACGTGTGCTACGACTGCTACGAGTTATAGTCCACGATTCGGTTCATAATAGTGAATCTGATTTAAACTCCACCGTTCAGATATGTTATAAAACACTTCTTAAACTCTATGCAAGTGTGAGGGCTGATTGTGACTGTGAAAATAATCTTGTAGCCAATACTATTATGTAAGTAATCTATAAAAATATACAGCAAATTGATCACTTTTTTGTAGAAAACTTGTTGATAAGTTGGGTTGTCGTGACACAATCGATGTACTAAAAGGAGAATTTATACCTCTTCCCGAAGATATGTTTTTAACAAGCTCGCATGTTACGACAGTTCGTCAAAGTTTAAAAACTAGCGATTATGAATCTGATTTTGACAGTAAATCAGACGACGAACTTGAAGTAATTGCATTATTTTGCTCGCTATACAAGTATTGTATAATTTACTTATTTATTTTTTCAGTTGTTTGTGGTAGAAGACTCATTCAATAGTAAATCACAAAAACCGTCTACAACAAAAAACTTGTCCAGTTCGTTAAATGGACCGGTAGCTACTTTTGCAAGTGATAATTTAACATATTCCCAAAACATTGCTAATAGAAGTGAAGCGGAAAGTAATTTTGCAAGTGATAAATTAACATATTCCCAAAACATTGCTAATAGAAGTGAAGCGGAAAGTAAATGCCCACTTATTTCGAAAAAACTGAATAATCACGTAGACAATAATACTCGAAAACAAAATATTGACGTTCCAAAAAACATAGCTTCCATTGCAGAAACAGTCACAAATACGGCGAAGTGTGTGATTAAAAATACGGAACATAATTCTCATCAAAAGTTGGGCAAGTCGGATGAAAATGTATCTAAAGTTGTGGATGTATCATCGAATCGTAAAGAACGTACCAATAGAGAATGTTACGTGGTTGCTACGATTGAGGTTCTTGACGACGAAGAAGAAGCAACTTTGGATATTAGTTCAAATGGAGAATCGCAACTACCATCTAGTACTTTTGGAAATTTTTTACCTTTGAATGAAATAAAGTTAGAAGAGAATGAAGAAAACCATTCGCCTAATTATTCTGTTTCGAATTCAGAAAATCAGAATTTTTTGAATTCCAATAAGGAATCACGAAATTCGAATTCAGCAGGACTTAATAGACTGAAAAATAATTCAAGCAATGATTCTGCGAAGGATGCAGAGTCAGCTATTTTAATTTCTGATTCCGAAGATGAACCTGAACCTTCCCAAGAAGGTATAAAAAAAATTGATGGTCAGTCTAAAGATGCGAAGACACCATCTCATGACGAAAGTTTTGAAACAAATGAAGACGTGAGTTTACATGTTACATCTGAAGAAAATGTAGAGCAATTACAAGTTGAAGAAATTGCTTTATTTGGAAATAAATCTGTGGAGTTTTCTGATAATAATATTCAGAAAGAGCAGTTGTCCGATATTTTAAGCGTTGAATATAATTTAACGCAGGATGAAGATCAAACTCATGTGGAAGTAGAAAGTATTGAAGAATTTGATACTACTCAATCTTCTGAAAAATCAATAAGAGATAGTCTTACCACACCAGAGACTGACAACTCTGCTGAAAAGAGTAAAGGTTCTGAACAACCTGAATTGGACATTTCTGTTGAAATTCCCGAGAATTCTGCAACGATGACAAAATATAAAGTTTCGGAACAATGTGTTGTAGAGATAGGGGAACCAAAAATTGCTGAAACGGTAAATGAAACTGTTGAAGTCGTTTTAGAAGAACATGAAACTGCTGAAGAGGTTCCAGAAGTTATCATGCAAACTGAACTTACAAAAGAATTTCCCGAAACTGCTGTGGAAAATGATGTTTCTGAAGCTGCTGTGGAAACTGAAGTCACTGAGGCTACTGTAGGAACTATGGATTCTGAAGCTATTGTGGAAAAAAATCCTGAAGTTATTATGCAAACTGAACTTACAAAGGAATTTCTCGAAACTACTGTGGAAAATGATTTTTCTGAAGCTACTGTGGAAACTGAAGTTACTGAGGCTACTGTAGAAACTAAGGATTTTGAAGCTATAGTGGATTCTGTAGTTTCTGAAGCTACTGTAGAAGTTGCAGTCACTGAAGAAATTCGTGAAGCTAGTGTAGAAAAACAAGTTGCAGAAGATATTTTCGAAGCTACTGTAGAAACTGCAGCATTTGAAGAAATTCCTGAGGCTAGTGCAGAAACAGAAGTTGCAAAAGAAATTTCTGAAGCTACTGTAGAAATTGCAGTTACTGAAGAAAGTTCTGAAGCTAGTGTAGAAAACGAAGTTGCAATAGAAATTTCTGATGCTACCGTAGAAATTTCTAAGGCTAGTGTAGAAACAGAAATTGCAAAAGAATTGTTTGAAGCTACTGTAAAAACTGTAGACACTGGAGAAATTTGTGAAGCTAGTGAAGAAAAGGAAGTTGCAAAAGAAATTTCTGAAGCTAACGTAGAATCTGCAGTATTTGAAGAAATTCCTGAGGCTAATGTAGAAACAGAAGTTGCAAAAGAAATTTCTGAAGCTACTGGAGGAACTGCAGTATCTGAAGAAATTCCTGAGGCTAGTGAAGAAACAGAAGTTGCAGAAGAAATTTTTGAAGCTACTGTAGAAACTGCAGTCTTTGAAGAAATTCCTGAAGCTAATGTAGAAGCAGAAGTTAGGAAAGCAATTTCTGAAGCTCCAGTCGAAACTGTGGATTCTGCTGTTACTGTAGAAACTAAGACAGCCCATCTAGAAGCTAGTGTAGGACTTGAAATTTCTGAAGTCATTGTAGAGACTGAAGCCACCGATGAAAATTTTGAAGCTGCTGCAGAAACTGATGTTGCTAAAGAAATGTCTGAACCTACTATAGAAACTGAAGTTACTAAAGACATTGTTGATGTAACTAAAGAGAATGATCTGTCGGAAAATAATAATGAAATTACAGACCTTTCAGTAACCAGGAAAGGTGAAGAGGAAGAGCTTACCAACAACAGATACAATTCTATCATTCCTGAAGTGTTGTCGACCCTACAATTGATTCAACGTCCAGTTCCTAAACCTTCTGAAGCAATACAAACGTTAAACACATATTCTGATGTACAACTAGCAGTGGAACAAAATAAAAGAACATTTGTTAAAAATGATTTATCTACTCGCATGATTGATTATTCTATGAAGATGCAGCCTTCTTGTGATGTAATTACTAATAACGAAGATCAGCCAAAACGTCAAGTTAGCCAGCCTGATTTACAAGTTTACAATGTTGATACTCAGTATAACAAGATTATAAAGTCAGATATTTGTCAGCCAACACAAGACACGGACGGCAGCTCTCAACAACTGCCAATGTATGGGTTGCCACAGGGTCTTCCTGAAGTTCAGTATGTGGAATATGATAGTCCGAAAAAAGATGCTGCTTTAGCGATGTTGGCGGATCTGGCATATCATCGAAAAACACTCGAAGTTGAAACCAATAAAAAATCTGAAGTTTTGGTAAACAAACCAGATAGTAATGTGAAAAAGCTTCAAACAACACCAAAACGAAGAAAATCAACCAAAGAAAAATTGGAAGTTAAAAATACCAGTTCAAGAAAAAGTTTACCAAGAGCTGTGAAACGGCCCAAGGAAAGTGTAAATAAAAAAATAACACAAAAAATTACACCAAAACTTAAAGGCACTATTTTAAAAGAGCCGTTGAAGTTACTTCGTGACGAAGATTCGGAATATAAACCTCATGATTTTATTTCGGAAAATTCTATTGAACCTCTTAAACCAAAAATTTACGATCAAAAATTGGATACTGCTACAACAAGCGAAGATAGTAACGACAGTTGCGAGAGACGTCTAGTCATTCATTTGGAAAATGATTCGAAAGATATGGACAAAACTAATAAATCAGTTTGTGATGAGGAGACAATTACTGATGTTAATACGAAAAGTGTAGATAAAAATATTAAATCGGTTTTTGATGAGGAAACCATTACAGAGGTGTTGGAATTTGTAAAAACAGAAAATAAAAGTGCTATTTGTATTAGTATACCTGAAAATGAAGACAATTGTGTTCCTGAGGGTTTCGACATTTTAAAACAAATGGAAGATTTTGTTAAAATTAATGACAGTGTACTTGCGAAAGTCGTTGACACTAACGAACTAATTGAATCGAAATCGAATTCTGAAGAAAAACCGGAGGCTAAAGTTCTAAAAACAACCGATCACAGCATTGTTAAGATATTAAACAGAACAACAAACACAGATACAAAAATGGATGAACCGGTACCCGAATTAGAGGAGAAAATTATAAGAGAAGGAGAATCATTACCTGAAAACTTTGAACATAAAGATGAAGCAACTGCTAAGAATTTTATTGAAGCAGAAACGGAAGAGAGTAATTCTATTACAAAAATTGCAACTGAATTATTTGAAAAATCAACTGCGAAAAATACGATCGTTCCTTCATCTGTAGAAGGAGGGATATGTGATGAACTTGATACTACTGTTCAATTAGATCCCAAAGATCTTACTGTCGGAATGGTAACAGACACAAGAAATGAAGATAGTTGTGAGAAAATTTTTAAAACTAAAGCTGAAGTGAAATCCTACGAGGACAAGTTACAGCCTAATCCGTTTGTACTTTTAATGAATTACGAAGAAAGGATGAAGAAACGGAAAAAACTGCGTTCTAAAAGTTCTGAAGGCATACAACAACGTGTGAGTTGTTTTGATAGAAGCAGATCATCAAGTGTGGATTTTAACTCATCGTCAGACTTGTCTTTCAATGAAATCAAGGACTTATTAAAATTGGACGAGTCGACTACCGAAAAAATTCAAGCTTTGAATGATAAAAGTGATGAAATTGTAGTAGAATCAGAAACTGCAAAGGATTTAACAGTGTCCACGAATAAGGAATTAGTTCAAGAAAACACTCAAGATGATAATTTACAAAATGTTAAACCAATTGTTGAAACACTCGTTGAAACAACGCAAGATTTGTCAGATTTGGAAGTAGCACTTCCTAAGCCAGTTGGTGGTGAAATTACAATCTCTTTGGTTATTGATGTGGCCGAAAAATTGAAGACTTTACCAGTAAGTGATGTTGTTGAAGATGGGACTTACAGTAAATTTGAATCGACGAAGATAACTGAAGATACTCAAATGGCTGAGGATCTGTCGCAAAAAAAGCCAGTGGAACCAGTTAGTGATTTAGGAATGAGTACGAATGCTAAAGAAATGCTTAGTCAAACTGGTTCTGTTAATCTTGACAAAACCAATTCTAAAACTTTGGATGAAGCTAAAGGAAGAGCACTAGAAAACACTATCAAGAAAATGAAAGAGAAGATGGAGTCAGAAAAAGTTAAAAAAGAAAAAGCTGAAAATAGTGTCAGTAGAACAAAAAGCAATAATATACAAGAAAATGAGCAGAGGCATGTGTCGAAGGATAAAAAATTATCAGAAAAAGCACCGGAGACAAGTAAAAAAGAAGACAGACACCACAAGAGAAGACGTAGTAGATCTTTATCGAAGTCGCGGACGGCTGCTAAGAAATCAAATGAGGCAAGTAGATCTTCTTCAAAATCCAAGTCGTCAGATAAACGTTTGAAAGAAAAACATAGCGACAGCGATAGTGAGCGGGTAAGACGCAGTAAATCTAAATCGGTTGATTTAAGTTATTCCCACGAAGAACCGAATGGTCATAAAAAAAGACACAACAGATCTTCATCAAAGTCAATTGAAGATTCAAAGTCTAAACAAAGTTCTGATAAAAAAACAAAACACAAGACTTCAGAATTGAAGGAAAAACCAGCTTTCGATCCTAATAAAACGGAAAGTAAATCACCATCAGAGGTAAAGGATAAGCAAAGTGACGATTCTGATAAAAGAAGAAAATCACATGATGTCAAAGAGAAGAGTTATTCTGAGAAGAAACACAAATCTAAAAATGATAAGCTCAGAGATAAAGAAGATGAGGAGAAAGTGAAGACTAAAATCAATATAGAAGATGATATTAAGAAAAAATCCCATGTAGAGAATAAATCTTTTAGTCTAAGCGATGATACCCTGTTTAAGGTGGATGAGAAAGTAAGCAAAACCATCTCAAAGAAGATCAGCAAAACTCAGGAAGATTTGAAAAAGTTGAACGAACATTCTGATAAAATAGATGATAAACATATTAGTCACAAGACGAAATCGCATAACTCGAGTAAGGTTAGTGAACAATGCGGCAAAAACAACGGAAGAGTGAATGATAAAGAAAAGTCAAAGGCAAAAGATGAGTATCGAAGAAGTAATTCAAAAGAGAAAAAGGTGGAGATGACAGCAAGTGATAAACGAGAGAAAAATAGGGAACGATCAAAGGAAATTGATAGTTCACGTCACAAAAACAAATCAACGGAAGGTGAAAACATGCAAGAAAATAAAGGAAGGGATAAAGAAAATTTCATTCAGTGTGAAAGTAAAGTAAATGCTAGGGTTAAAGAAAATAAACGTATTTCAAAACAAAAAGAGACATCAATGGGAAATGAAGATTCTCACAAGAATTACAAAGTTGATATATACAAGAAGCGGAAGTGTGAATTGCTTGAAAATGCACCTCCTGAAAAAATGCTAAGGTTAGAAAATGAAAAAATATCTGACTTTGTACAAGATGTTAATATGGAACGACCTAAAACTCCTACTATATGTCTTTTCGAAGAAGTAGAAAAAAAGCCAGATTTCAAGACGGTTGAAATGAAAGTAAACACCCATTCTGAAAAGTGTCCTCATTTGAACAAGACTAATTTGGATATACCATTGCCAGTGGAAAACTTAACAACAGCAGAACCGTTGGATCCGATTGTTGAAGAAGTAGAGAAACCTCTTACTCCAGTTGTTGTTACCACTTCACATATATCTTTATCATACGACCATTTTAAAGATGATATGACAGCTAAATTAGGAACTAAAGAAATTCCGATGTCTTCTTCTTTAATTGAAACGACTGATGAAGAAAGAAATTTTACAAAACCATCTGTAAATTTGGTTGAAATCAGCGATTCTCTAAACGCTCCAAATAAAGTATTTCCAGATGATAAATTCAGGGTTTTCGACAACAATTTAACTAATGAGCCTGAAACTATAGTAGAAACAAGCAGTTCTATGAAAATTCAATTGCAAAATGAAAGCGTTTTTATTCCGTCATCTGAGGCAGTGTCTGTTAGTAGTGTTTTTAGTAGTGCCATCGATGACCATGTTCTGTCTTCCACTATTGATTCAACTGTTAAGCATTTGCCTCGCCATGATACAGATTTATCTCTCGTATCAACAACAATTACCAACAGTGCCGTAACCAAAGTAGCGTCTGTGTCCTGCGATGTTAGACCAATAACTGTTGAAAGCACTACTTCATCATCGACTACCATTGGCCAAGAGAAGACTTGTTTATTCACATTTAATAACACAGAAACAGTTAATCGCGAAAACTTGAGTACTACGGAAATATTTAGTTTAGATGATATTTCACCAACCAAATTACCACCCTTAGGAAGCACTCAGTCGCTCGACTTTATCTCTCCTACGACTTCAACGGCTGAAATAAGCAATTCGATGAACTTGTTGCAGACTTTAGGAACTTCTACAATTAATTTTATGAATGAAGTATCGGAGACTTCAGAAATAGATGTGCAAACGAATAAACAAAATTCATTCCACTCTAATTACGTGACGCAAGTTACGGAGATTCGCTGTTTTGGTGAAAAAGAATCAGTAGCCGATCATAATTATACTTTAGGAGGTCCATTGTTGGGAGGAAACAATGAGGACAAAAATATTTTAACGACTGACAAAAATATTCTAACGACTGGGTTATCTTTGAGTACTTCACCAGAAGAGTTTCAGTTGAATGAAGGCCATTTGGAAGAACTTTCTTCTTTCAGTGAGAATAATTTCATAGAAGAAAATGTAACTTTGGATGATATGGAGTCACTACTACCTTGCAAAAAAGAGAAAACCGATTTTAATACTGATGATTCTATACCAAAACCGGAAGATGTCCAAAATGACATAAAACGGTTAAATATGTTAGTAGATATTTTACAGAACGAGCCAAAGACAACTTCAGTCCATAACACCATGGATCATGGTAGTAAAACTGACTTAGGAACTGACTACGCTGTTGAACAGTTGGAGTTACTTTCTCAGGTTGTTGGAGATATTAACAACATTAATATCATGGATTCGAATGTTTCGTTGTCAGTACCTGCGACGAAATCAATTTTGGATGATGCCGTCTCTGAAACAACTTCACATGATCCCATCAATTTACCTCTCACCTGGAATAGTTATTCCAATTTTATGTCAAGTGATGGTAACCAAAAAGTTGTAGTGGAACCAGTGGAACAGTGTCCAGTCACAACGGTGGATCAAATGAAAAAAGACTTTATTGATGGTATATCCAAAAATGTTGAGACAATTATGTTTACTTCAATCACGGCCGGATCTAACAAATTTCTACCTTTCGTAGGAGCAAGTAAAATTGATGCCAACAACAAGAAAGAAACTTTAAAAGTGCACGATGAGATAGAAAAATCCACAGTTCGCAAAAGCAGTAGAGTGCGTGTTACTTCTCCTGAGAAGAGCTCAACAACACAGCATAGTAGTATAGAAATTGGCAAAATCCGAGTAAAAACAGATTTAATTGCAAAAACTAAAAGTGGCTTGAATGATTCTTCTTCAGTGAGTTGCACAAGTGAGAACGGACAGAATGTTGTAGAGGATAAAACAGCAATACCAACACAAAGTAAACCACCTTTGGGTTACCCAAGACTTAGTAAATTTGCACCCTTATTGGAGACGTTGAAAGCAGATGCTAACAAGAATAAAACATTGACTAACAAGAATGAAACAACTAAAACTCAGGATGAGACAGAACAGTTTTTAACTCGTCGGCACAATAGAACACGTGTTTCTACTCCTAAACAGAACACGGTGACGCAACAACGTCATTCGAAAAGTCCACCACAGAGCAAAAAGGCTGAAATAGTGTCTTTTGACATTGATGTAAACAAACCTCAAAAAACAGGGAAAATCCAAGTCAAAAAGGATTTGAAAGTTGATACTAAAAGTGGCGTCAGTGATCTAGATTGCATCATTGACCATGAACAGAATGCTGCGAATAGACCATCGACGTGCAATTTTCATGAGAAGAAAACAGAAGAACCCAAAGGTGAACATAGTAACAGTTCCACGAAACATAACCATGATAAAATGGATAAAGAGTATATTGTGCCGAAAAAATTGAATGTCCCACATGAAGCTAAGATCACTATAGACAAGATGAATCTGGACGATAGTAAAAAGAGAACATTGGTCGATGAAGAGGATGACAAAGGTCAAAGGTCAAAGAAGTTGAAAGAAGGAGCACAACACCCAGGTTTTGATGAAACAGGCAAATATTACATTATGGAGAATTTTCGCGAGAAGAAAACAGAAGAACCCAAAAGTGAACATAGTAACAGTTCCACGAAACATATACGGTTTGATAAAATGGGTAAAGATTCCATTGTGCAAAAAAAAATAAATGCCCAAAATGAAGCTAAGACAAATCTAGACGACAGTAAAAAGCGCACATTGGTTGATGAACGGGATGAAAAGAAGTCAAAGAAGTCGAAAGAAGGAACTCAACACCCACGCTTTGATGAAGCAGGGAAAGATTATATCATGGAGAACATATTGAATGTTCAAACTGAGACTAAGAAAACTAGTTTGATTGAAAATGTAATTTCTGATATCCCTGTGGAAAAAGTAGATTCAGAAGATAGCAAGTCTACTAAACCACCGCCATCAAGCACCGACGCTCTTTTCGATAAGTTAGTAACAGAAGGTCCTGTGAATAAACTGTGGACACAGAACATGAACAAGAAACAACAAAAGACGGAGATCAGTAACGACCTGTTGAAAAATCGAGGGTACTACACTGGGCCTGAGGAACATCAAAGCAAGGGAGACATCACTAACGACCAACTGAAAAATCGAGGTTACTATACAGTATCTAATCCCATAACTAGCGAACCACGGAACAAAAAAGAAATAAGTAACGAGATATTGAAAAATCGAGGGTACTACACAGTACCCGACGCAAAAAAGGAAAGAAATACACAGCAGTTTCATGATTCTCGACACCATTATTCCAAAACCGAACTAAATTACACTAGTGGTAACAGCGCACATTCGAACCCGGGCTCTTTTGAAAAATTGCATAATACATACTCTACAGTTCATACGTCTCCAAAAAGGTAATACACCACGTGAATGTCTCACAGATCTAATAATCGGTTTTAGGATCAAGAGAGCTCCAGGAAATTCGTCTACTTCGAAAAGTGATCCACATACGTCTTACGATTATAAACCACAAGACAGAAGGAGGAGTACAGAACAAATGAAAGACGTAATAGAAAATTCTAGCGAAACAAATACCCCGAAAACAAATACGTCGAAAGAAGATTGGTTTAACAAATTTAATGGGTTCTTTGATCCTTCTAATTTATTATTATTCCCAGGTCAGTAAAATTGACGATAGAGTAAGCTTCTATCTCGTACGTACTTACATGAGTTGCAACTGATAGAATAATGTTTTTCTTTTTATTCAGGGATTAAACGAATAGATACGCCATCGCAAAAATGAAAAAGTACAAGCATTCTTATCATGTTGAAAAAGCCTCTACCTTCAGTTACGTAATTTTTAATATTTTTAGCACTATGCATCATTTCTTTATAAGTACATACATTTTTATTGTACATTTTTTTATATTGTAGATATTTACATTTTTAGTTTCATTATGATATTATATAATTTTTAAGTACCTAATGAGTTTAGTATAAATATTTAAATCAATGTTATTTATCATAAATTTGTTGAGAAAATAAAATTTCGTAAAATTCTTAGCCTTTTATGACTTACGCCTTACGCTAATACATAAATAAATCATTATCACAAAGGCGACAAAGGATAAGGTTAAAAAAAAGAAAGTATTAGGTACGTATTAGTAGTTTTTAATATAATATAAAGGATACACAAAGTTTAGTACGAGTAGTTATATTAGGAGGGAAAAAATGCTAATTATACAGTGTGTCCCCGCATAGGTGAAACGACTCTTGTAAAAGATAAAAAAATCTCATTTTAAATTTTTATTTTTTTAGGTTAAACCCTGCTTGGTTAAAGACAATTTTAGTCTTTAGGTGCAAAAATCAATATGCCTTGGAAATTTTCAAAAAAACTTATTTTACTGTAGGGTAAAAATTTAAATCGAGAAATTTTTATTTTTTAAGAGTCGTTTCACCTTCTTTATATCAAGTGTTTTTGGCAATGAGCGTCTTAAACATGTATGAAAATATATTGGGATATTTTTTTAATAGTTGATAATAAATTAACATATATTTGTACATAATAATATGTTACAAATATGAATAGTTGAATAACAAGAAAGTTTCAAATTTATAACATACAGACTGCTTTTTATATTATTTTTCTTCCAAGGGATTTTCTTTATTCATTTTTTGTGATCTGTTTTACATAAAAAATCAGTTACGATGTTGCCATTTTCTGTATCGATATGAAACGGGATTTATTATTCTACTTACATGAATTTTGGTAATATGAGATAATTTTTTTAAACGTCTCTTCAGTTGGATGTTGGAGTTGGTACTCTATTTCGAATTAGTTCTGTAGAGTACATTTTGTATTCCATGCTTCAAAGACTACGACGGTGTATTCAAATTTTTCAGTTGGCTTAATTAATTACATATTATGAATTTGACATAAAATGGCAAAATTTACCTACCTTTCGAAATTGCAACTCTGTGGTTCTTGGATAAGTTAACCTGAAATGAAACATATTATCAAGATAATTATATAGTTTGGAAGATGTTTGTGGAACATGTAGATGGTAATTAATGAAATCTTTGCTGATTGTATTTTGAAATTGACATATCTATAGATTTATTTTTACAGGTGTTCAAACGAACAATTTTCATTTTTTTATAAAATTTAACATTTCGACAAGTTTGTCGCAATACCCGAGCAGACACTTCCGCGCGATCAGCAACGATCAGCGGAATGTCTTAATTGGGTCATTATGCCAGCGACAAACAAACAATCATCGATATAATTTTATAAAGTAAATTTGTAATTCATCATTAAAGTAACCAATGTTTTAGATTTACTGTTTTAGTTTAAGTTGAAAATTGTATATAATCAAATTATTTTTATAATAAATCGAGTTTTTATAATAGTACAACAGCGGGTGTTATTTGCTCCACAAACCCTTAAGCTTCGCCGAACAACAGGATTGTAATTTTTTTCAGTGAAGTTTATTTTTGTTTTGATTATTTTTATTATTTACTTCTTTTTACCTTTTTTTATAAATAAATAATAAACAATAAACTCAGTGGATCCAGAAATAATTAAATATTTTCACCTTTATGAAATAAATCTTACAGCTTTAAATATAATTTTCTCATGGCCATAGTTCTACACTCAGTTACATTTTTTCACGTTTTGGGTCAAAAAATGTTTAAATACCTACAATTTTTACTATATTATTTGGTTAGCTTAAAAAGAGTTGAATCGGATTTATTTAAGAATCTCTTATTTAAATTTATTTATTTAATCTCTTATTTTAACTTATTTATTTTGTTGACAAAAGAAATACGCTTGATAAGGGAAGTTTACGATAGTACTGATTTTTACGGATAATTTCAAACACGCATAGCTCGTATTTTAATATAGGTACTAAAACCAAAACTTTTTTATTAACATTTTAACAAAGAATACAAGTGTCTATAATTTTTGAATACATTTTTTTGTTCACACACTAAGGGTAGTTCAGAAATGTTTGTGATCTGAAAATATACTTACTTGTTGAGCGCATGCGGCTCTATCAGAGAGGACGCCTGGCGTCTAGACACCTTCAGACTGCACGACCGCCTGGACGCTCCATACCGTCGTTGCTCTGATAACGACCAATTTCTGATTAGTGGCAAGTGTTAGTGTGTTAATACCGACTCCATCCAATTAATTACAAGAAATGCCACGCTTGCCTTAAGCCACATCCTCGTCTACGTGGTAAGTTTAATTTCAACACAGTCATTTAGATTTAATGAGTTAAGAATCAATTACTCTAGATTTTATCCGTCTTAAACATTAATTGTTTACTTTTGACTGAGATGTAGTATACGAGGATAAAACGGAAGTAAAATGTATCTGAAGGCTTATTCTCGTTGGCATTAATGAAGTAATTATTTCTTTGTTTCTTGATTGATATTTAATGATGATTGTAATTACGTAAAAGAAATATCATCAACTGGGCAATAAGTATTATTTAATTTTCTTTAATAGTGGTAAATAATTGGTTGAACCTATTGCAGTCTTTTATTCTATTTTAACAACGTGGGTATCTATATTTGTGCAATTTTTTTCTCTAATCGAGATTTCCTGTGTTAAATTGTGTGCCAGTGCAGTTTCTAGCGACATGATTTGAAGAGAATTTAATAACAGAAACGGATTTGTTAATAGTTTATTAGCGAGGCTCCAAATTATTGGAAGCCTCTAAGTTCAGCTACTGTTAAACTAAATATTTAAGATTAATTTAAAGCAAGTAAAAGTGGTTCTACTAAAAAAATTCTAATTGTATTTTCTACCAATTTTATGCCGTACGTGTATTAAGTTTTAATAAATATAATTTCTTAAACGATAAAAATAGAAAAAAAAACAGAAATTTTTTTTTTCAATTGTAGTGGATTGATTTAATCACTATTCACTTGCATCGCTTCTAGCAAAACGTAACGACTTACTTATATCGAACTAAAATAGGTTTTAAGTAGTATTAAAAAAGTGGTTATATTTAGAATATTATAAATTTTTGACTTGATTGCTGCTTGGAGCCAATAATATGACACGATAATCGATCCTTGTGCTTTATTCAGTTCTTTTTAACTCGTATTTTTATGCCATTATGTGGATGGCATCTTATAACATTTCTGCTAAAAGTTACCGATTGATCTACATAGATTGTCATTTATAAAAATAATTTATGATAATGTTGCCCCTTCAGCACAGATACGTTAGTATCTGCCTATCTTTTTTAATAATTAGTACAAATTTTAATTTGTAAAAAATAGTAGATTATGTTATTAGGAGTAAAAGTGATTGTTTATGTGGCGAAGCTGAACGTTCATTTTGCCGAACGAAGTGAGGCAAATGGATTCAGCTGAGCCACATAAACTCACTTTTACTCTAAATAATATATACTATTTTATCTGCAAACGATTCAAATGGAGAGAAAAGAGCAACACACCAATAATCAAGTAAATCACCTCAATAATCAGGACGCTTTGTAATAAAATCATAACAAATGTCACGCGTCTGTTTCGGAATTTGTGTTGAGATTTCGAAAGTGTTGATTGATTTAACTGGTGAATAACTGGTGTAGTTTATAGTGCAAAATGTCGAATGCTGACAACCTACCTCTCCAGAAAAATGCTGAAAAAGCGAAAGAGACAAGAAAAAGACAACTGTGGTAAATGTCAAAGTAAGTGTCAAGTAAAAGTGAAAACGCCTAGGCGTAAAAGGCGTAAGTGTCAAGTAAAAGTGAAAACGCCTAGGCGTAAAAACAGTGTTTTTACTCCTTGTCTGAAAAGTAAAACTTTTACCTGTGTCATTTAGTCATAAAAGTGGTCACTTTTGTGAGGTTTGCGGATAAACTTATTTATTCTGTCTTTTTAAAGAAAAAAATAATTGATCATTTGAAGAAGGAAGATATAAGATTTTGAAATGTTACCAGAAAATTAATTTTGTATTAGAAAATTATTAGTAGTAGTTAAAATACCACTTTTGTGCTAAGACACACACGCAAAACTCATTGAAAATGATTTTAAAATTCTTTAAAATGCTTTAGACACCCCAAATATTTAGGTAGAAAAATATGACTAAAATTCTGTTAAAATTTTTCGTGAAATAAAATTTTATTTCTAGACGTAGAGCTAATGATAATTGTTATTACATCTTAAAATGTTGTCAATACAATTGTATAAAATAAAAATCTCGTATTTTCAGACACCTTAAAGCGTATTTTCATGGGAACATGAGAAAAGTTTTATTTCACCAGAAGAGAAACTAAAATCCATTTATAGACATCCCAGAATTTGCGTATACATGTACATGAAGTGAAATTGGCATAGCAAATTGTAACGAAAATTGAATAACTTATTACATTTAGCTGTGTACTAAAGAATGTAGAATAATACAATTACACATGCAGTGTTTGTGATGGGACTTAAGTTACATTCTCATATGAAAGACATTTTGGGTAGATAAATCGTTATTCTTTCAAAAATTTTTTTTGTGATTCTACTTTTCAGTCAACAACCAAAATCTGTAAATGAGACTTAGTTTACAGCAAATAATTAATTTAAATACAGTTTTTCTTTTAATGACAAGACAAAAATTATTTGTGTACGTTCAAACAAAAGCGTTTTTATAACAAATAATTACAATGTAACTAACTCTAAAAATAGACATTATTACACAGGGTGTTAAAAAGAGATTGTAAAATATTTTAAGAGGTAATACAGGGTGATTCAGATAAGATAATGAGCCTGACTATCTGGCCATGTTCTCACGGAATGATAGAGAAATTAGAGAAGTCTTTTCGGTATGAACCCAATAAAAAATGTATGAACGAATGAAACATTAAAGGCAGGCAAACAGTTTTTTTTATAAATCATAATTTGCTTGTCAAAGCACTGTCAGAGCAACATGAGATAACTTGGATTGCAAATGCAAATCGTAATTAAAATTAGATCAAGACGTAAATGAAATTTGTTTTTTTGGTTGCATCGCCAGATCGTCAGGCTCATAATCTTATTTGAATCACCCTGTATAGTATGGACCAAAACAAACAAAAAGATCTTAATAAACATGAGTCCGCAAAGTACAATTTTGAAGATATCGAAGATTATTCGTTTTTTGAAACATTTATTTGCAATCTCTGTTCAAATAAAAAAGAAAAGCTTTTAGTAGAAATTTTAGAAATCTCATATTCGATATCTCCGAAACCGTTACTTTGCGGACCCATGTTTATTAAAACTTTTTTGTTTACTTTGGTTCATACTATTACCTCCTTACATATTTTTCAATCTTTTTTTAACACCCTGTATATATTTTATTGACTCGAAAGCATACCTAATATTTTATGCATTAATAAAAATATTCGTTACGAAAAAAGTTAAATGAATAAAAGTGCACATTAGGCACGGTTATCGTTTGATATTTACAGCAAATTTTACAAAATTAAAAACAAAATTTAATTAATGAAAAAGGTAGATAATAGGTAGAAATATACTCATACTCACTTGTGAAAGATGCCGCATGTTCTTGCAAATGATGTATTTTTTACCAATAATGTAATAAAACGTAATATTAATGCCATTCAACGACTTTTGTCTTTAATGTGAGGGCTTCACTACGTTATCTCTTTGTTGTGGATTATATTCTCGCGAGTATTCTCGCATATTTTTGCATTTGCGTGTTGTAATAATTAGTCATAATCAGACTGAGATTCTTAAGTACAAATAAAAAATAACAGCTTTTTGTTAATAAGAATTCACTATAAATACTTGAAGGGTGTATTACTGACAACATTTAATTTGAGTTTATTAAATTTAGTGTCATTTAGTATTAAGCGAGGTGTATAATTAATGCTCTAATTGCCCCTAATTACAAGATCGCAAATAAATGCATAAATTTGCTTTTCAACGTACCTACATTTCCTTGTCACTTATAAACTAGTTAATCGATAGTTTAATATAAAATATAACCCTCCATGTTAGCGTAATACAAAGCAGAAATTTCTAAGTCAGATTGATAAAATAAATGATACATGATATCAAAAAAAATACCTATAGTTAATTCGTGTCAAAACCTTTCTTTTCTATAAAAATATAGTTTCTCATTGCAGTCATGCAAATTATGATTATGATTATTATTTTAATTTTTCCAATATTAGGTACTCTGCAGTAAAGAAATCAGTTCAATTTTTAGTACGAATGTTGAGTAATGTGAAAAAGACTTAACAGTAGCTCAAGGCTTTGTAAAGTTTATTATTGGCAAAATACAAGTTAAGAAAAGAAGGGGACTCTTGAGACAGACATTTTTTCCTGTTAATTGACGTTTTACAGCCTTTTGTCACGAAAAACTAATCTAACAATTAACTTCAGTGAAAAGTGGGAGATATTCAAAGCGATAAGATCTCACATTTGACAATTGCAAACATGAAAGAATATTAAGCTGAATGTTCTACAATTGAGAAGAATAATCAATGTAACTACGCCACTCTCTTTGATTCCTCGACGCACATAAATATTTAATTAATATTCCGCTACCATGTCATCATGACCCTTTCGAGATAAAAACATGCCTTTGCAAGCAGAAAATCACATTAGAATTACTACTGTTGATCACAAGTGACAAATGTATTCTTAATTTGCCTCCAGGGGTTAACACTCCAGAAATATTTTTGTGGTGGTGTTGATTTAACGATGAAGTCACTTTAGATAGGGTGTCACATTTGACTCTATATTCAATTCGAAATAGAACGTCGACTTCCATCGATTTTGTTTAGGATAAAAGCAGCAAAGGTCTTTTGCTACGACTGATATGACATCGATATTTATTAATATTAATTCATGTAAAGTTTTCGAGTGCCGTTGTTTAGCTTCGGGGCATCATTAGGATATCCCTTCAGGATCAGCACTTAAATTTCAAAATGAAGTTCTGAAATGTATTTCAAACAGTAGATGTGAATCTTATAGATACAACAACATTGATTTTTTATCGCTTCCAAAAAATGTAGGTGGGTTAAAAAAGAGAAAAACTGAAATTTCGTACAATAACATCAGTGAACAAATTCCATTAAAATGTTAACTTTTTATTTCTTAAATATCACGAGAAAAAGGTCTTAATATTAAATTTGAAGAAATTGGATTACACATTTTGTTGTTAAAATTAAATAAACCTTTATATGAACCATGGACGTAATTAAGAATTATGGTTCTCGTGTGCACGGTTGAACTTTAAACATGTTTTCTGGCCATAATATTTTGGATTAACATACATAAATATAAAAAAATTCAATTTCATTAATAGTCATAAACTACAGTTTTTCAAAAACAATTATCATTTGTTCTATTAATAAGAGATGGCATGAATATGATTCTAGTTTATCTATCTTAATCACTAACTAACTAAAAACGTTGTAATTTTTGAAAGGGTGAACAAACTAGAGAAGATTATCCAACTTTTCAAAATTTGTAATCGAGTTTGTATCGGAGTATGTATTATTGATTGCATCTGTAGGCGCAAGCCTCGTAAAATTATGTGAAACACCCTGTATTTATATTTGACAAACTCAAAATAATTCTGTCAAGGCGTTTTCAAAGCCAGAAGTGCCACAGTAATTTATTTGCAAATAGGTAATTAAAAACTTATAAAACGTATAAAATTAAAGTTCTAATTGACAGATCGAATTATTTTTGATTTGACAAATGATGGTTCGATGGCAGTATAAACTTTTGCGAATTTAGCAAAAAAAGCACAATTTTTACCGCTGATTTCAACTTCCCATTTACTTGCTCATACATATATGTTAGGGAAAACAAATACGAATTTCAAACAAATAGACGAACCTTTTTTTTTATATCACAATTGTTACATCTTGATTATGCTAAGGTTGTGTGTAAAATTATTTCTAAAAATTTCCATTTTTTTTTGCAAAAAAAGTTTTTATTTGGGGAAATTTGCGACTCTATTTTTCAGTGCGTTTTCTCAGTTATGTATTTAAAAAAGACTACTTATTCCTATTTCTATATCTTGAACCTTGATGTGTTTGTAAGACGAGAGCTGTGACGCAATCTCGTTGCTAGAAGGAACAATTTTTTGTCGCAAATGAAATAAGTGATTTAAACTAATGACAAGGAAGATGAGAATTTATACTGTTTACTTGTATATAAATGTAGATACTGATCTGGTATCAAGCCATTTTGCGAAAATCCTGTAGAGATAAAGTATAATACAAAGAACGGCTTAAATGGGGTCACAAATGGAAAAGTTTATATTGGTTGGGAAGCGGCGAACAATCAAATTGTCGCTCTAAATTTTTCTTCCACTGATAGATGTCCTTTCATTATTGCATTTCGAGGCACTACTACCTTAGTTTGATAAATGTAGTTTGATCGTGTAGTAAAAATACAAACATAATGGCAATGACCCTGTAATAGACTTGCGGAATACTTGGCATGGCCACAACGACAGTCCTCCGAAACCATGGCAACCTGTTGAAGGGGAGCTTCCGACTAGGCACACCCATCTCTTATTTGATTGAAACTATAATAAATTCAAATAAATTCTTTTAGTTGTATTGTCGATGAACTAGAACCAATGACCAATATTGCTTGGTAATAAATATATAAATTTCAGCAGATTACTGGAATTCACTCGCTGAGTGCTTATAACCCGTCGTCCTTAAACAACTTCCTGCGCTCCTCAACGACGAATAGAGCGAATTCTTCAAGATAAAAATCGTGATTCTCTTTTATAAAATAGATTAAAAAATCACTTTAGCTTCAGAACGATCTCAGCAGCTTTCGCGTCAAAATTACCTCATCTAATTTTCTTTCTGTTTTTAACAAAGAAAACATAATGAAACTGTTTTAAGAGTTTTTAATTTGGTTTCAGAATAATGTGTACAGTTTAAGCTTTGCTACAAGTTTTACTATGTTTTGAGGAAGATAATCAATGATAAACAAAAAAATGAAATGTTGGATGAAAAAATTTATTTTCTCGAGAAAGTTGACTGGAAACTTTTTGTCAACTGTAGTTTTCCATGTTTTTTTCCATTTTTTCTATAAATACAAATGTTTTTTATACAAAAATTTATTTAAAAAATGTATGTAAAATATGTGTAGTTGTATCTACTGTAATTAACAAACCAAAGCACAATTATAATTATTTAAAAATTTGCTACAAACAAGAAATTTGAACCAAGCGAAAATGTGTTTTAAGTCTATATAAAAGTTAAACGTAATGTACGTAAAGGAACAGTGACTAAATTTAACCACAGTTTATGTTTCCAAGTTTTAAGTGTACGTTTCATTAAACAAGCAATGAGCATTAATTTATATAACTAGAACGTTAATTTTAGAAAAAAACTTCTAAAGTATATTTTTAAATAGTTAAAACAACTGGAATTGATAGCAGCCCGACCAAAGGTAGAGCTTTTATTTTCTCAAGAGCCATCCCTTATCGACAATTATGCCCATAGTACATACAACACATTTTTTATTTTGCTTTCTAAAACATTTAAAAGGCAAAAAGGTATTTCAACGACAATAATGTAAATTGGTTGCAATTAAAGTTTGTAGAACTTTGTTGTAGAATCGTAAAATTATGAGAATCACCCTGCTTATAATACAGGGTTATTCACGAGAGGGTTATTCCTGAATTTTTTTGCTGCAACCCATTGTATTGTATGTTGTATGTTCTAATGTAAGCGCTAGTTAAGATTTTTTCTACAGTTTCACTGAAAATGCTATAAATGATTTTATATGCAAGCTTACCCAGATCAAGGGATTGTCCGTGCGATTGAACATAAACCCTACAGCTGAAACGATTTTCTTTTACTAAATATAAAAATTGTGAGATGATTTTTATACAAGATAAAACTTTCCAGTAAAAAGGAAAGTTAACTCTTAAAATAAAAATAATATTTCAAACGATTTTCGGTGTTTTATTCAAACCTTACTTTATTTTCACCAAAACATACAATGTTTATTATACAATCCTTATTTGCCATGTTATGAAAATGAGCCACATGCAGAGAAAATGGGCGATAATTTAGTGGATTAACAAAGGCTTTTATTGGCACTCAGCATGTGACTCCATCACTTGCAATAATTGATTAATTACGTTGCTTTGTGATTAAGTTTTATCACAATAAGAGCTGAATCTAAAAATGAGACTTCTATTTGTCGTAAAAGCTTTTGGATTTTATTGGACAAATGTAAGTTAAAAGCCCAAGAGTTTCTTTGATTCCGCCTTATGTATGTAGTATAATTGCAATCCATTAGAAAAGGAGTTCAAAGCTGCTCTATCTATGTATCGTAGAAAACTGAATTTACCCTATCATATAAGGGCATCAGTTTAAATAAAAACTAAAGTGCAAATCTTATATGCTGTTGCGTGCATCAAATATCGAGCTTTTGGATTCAATGCGTGCTTACGATGCCAAATTACGAATCAATAAGTATGAAGCAGAAAATTCACGATGAACGTTTCAATGTTTTTAGTCAAGTGTAGAAAAGTGGAGATCATTATCGGTTAATAGGAATCCTAATTAAGTATAGTAAGGCAAAGTTAGATTAAGTTGTTAATTAATAAAGCAGGTAGTAATCGTCTAATGCCCTTGGCAGTTTTGATCGCGTTATATAATCCGAGTTGGAAAATTGAATTAAAATTGGTAGATGCGTTGAAAATTCAATTAATTAATTAATGTTTGACGCGCAGTTTTTTTATTATTTAATTACAATTCATAAAAAATATGTGCTTTATTACATATTATATCTTAAAACAGGGGTAATTAATAAATACTTGTTTTTGCTGATTCTAAACTAAATTAAATGAAGAATTATATAAAATGTAAATTATTTTTGTTTTTGTTTTATGTTTTATACTTTTTTTTATACTTACTCGTGCAGAAATTAACTACTTTTTTTTTCACTGAAAGCAGTTATCAGTTAAACCAGTTAAGCATTTATTTTTGTAAATTTATATTACTATGCATTATTGCATGTAACAACATTTCATCACTGCGTTAATCTTAATTAATATAATTTATGCCCCAAATAGTTTAATTTTCCAACAGCTGTGGCAACATTGTAAACAAACAAAAACAGTAATAATAATTAAATGCACATAATGTTAATACAATCATGCCTAGTTAATCAAGATTTGCAATTTGTTTAATGCCACTTCGTGTTACCACTAGTCACGTGAGAATTTTGTTCGCAGGTCCGTGGACATGGTATCCAACATGACGGAGACCAAGTTAGGAATGGAATCGGTGTCACCCGTGACACTGAGTTCTGACTGGTCCCGATTGGCTCGACTTATATTTCTTGCATCTCTTGCTGCTGTCGGAAGTGTTGGTAATGTGTTTATGATAAGCGCCGTCATGATTGAAGATTACCTCCGAAAGCGAGGTAAGAGAAGATGTTGCCTGACACGAATCGGCTTGGAAAAATAAATGATTGATGTTTCATAGGGTTCGCTATTGGAGTTCGTATTATTTGTCGAACGATATTTCTCATTATTTTTCATTTTGTGATATCTATATGATCGACAATAAAAGAAAACGTTTTTTATTTTTAGATTTTATGGTAATTGTTCAGTCGTTATAGAACAAAGATGCGAGACAAAAACGTTATTAATGATCGATCAGATTCTTTTGTATGTTACCTTCTTGACAGAATGTTGGTACTCAGCTTTTATTCCAGGAGCTTTGTTGGCAGATACGAAGATTGAGACTTATTGACAAAAAAAAAAAACAAAATTTATTGAATTCAAATTGATTATGGGAAATAACGTAATATTAAATATGTTGTACATTTGTCATAAAAATTCATTAGCTAGTAATGATTGAAAGAAAGTTGGGCTGTATTTGAGTAAGTTAGGAGGTAAACATACCACATTTACAATGTGTTCCGTTTTTATTGTTACAAATTTAAACAGAAGAACAGAATATTCAATTCATTTTAGTTAAAATTACATAGTTTGGTAGGTACAGTTGATTACCCTTATGACCTAAACAAATTCAAAGATAAAATGTCAAAATTTTTAATCAGGGGCGTCCTAAACTGAGGGGGTTTACTCTAACTACTTTGGCTGAAGTTTCTTGTCACTTTCAGCAACAAAATTTTAAATTCCATATTTTTTCACAAAAAAGAGGTCTCTTGCGTTTATTAGATACAATTTACCCTTTTTGAGTAAAATCATTTTAAAATTTATGTTGCACAGCATAAAAATTTAAAATTAAAACCGTTATACTCTAAACCCCTCCAGTTTATTAAGACACTCTTAAATAAAAACTTCGATATTTAATCTTTGAATTCGTTCAGGTGTTTAAAGTATCAACTTTTGTAATTTTATTCATTCTGAAATAGTGAGAAAACCCATTTAAAAAACGCACACCCTTCAGAAGTGTAGCTGTCGGTGTAGCTCCTTTACATAACATTTTTCGATTCATTTTCATAGGAAACTTTTGTCTTAAAATTGAATATTCTATCACCTGTTCAAGTTTGTTACAATAAAAACGGAACAGATAGATACACATACAGGGTCAGTCACAGGAGAGTTGCTTCTGAAATAATTTAAGCAGCAACCCATTATACAATTCACATAGGCATCTAGTTTCCTCATTTTTAAAAATTATAAAATTGAATCCAAGAATACTTTGCATATATTTTCATTTTGACATTTAAAAAGTAACAGTCAATTTTCGTTAATACAATGTATTATTACACACATAACGAAAAAGTGTACATGGTTTTAAGGAGAATGCAAGAAAAATGCTTTGTACTTGGAGTGGTATCCAAATCGAATGCATCCGGTTCCTGAAACATTTAGAAAACTGGAAGCCAAGTTACGACAAGATTGGCCTTCAATGAAATACTCCGTCAGAGGACTGCTACTGGCCCAGAAAATGAAATTAAAGTCCTTGAAGCAGTAGACAATTACTTGTCATTTTGACGACTTCATCCAGCTCATATTGATTACTGAATTAATTTAAATAAAATATTATATCTAGTATACATACGCTAAAGGTATTTTTGGTTGCAAGCTAATTAATTTCTAAAATAACTCTCCTGTGATTAACCCTGTACAATGGGAATAAAAAGTATGGAACCAAGCGTTGTTTGCATAAACTAATTACTTTACGAAAGAAATACTTAGTGCAGTAGTACTATAAAAATGTGATCGTTTTTCAAGAATAAAATTTTCTACAACATGATCTTCTAGAGTTTTTTTATATCTCACTCTCTAAAGAAACTAGTAATGAATTAACGTAAGGATTGTTGTAAAAGTTGTAAGCATTGGCTAATTTAAGATCGGTCATTATAATAATACAGGATGCCCCAGAACTCGCGCCTCAGAGAAAAATGCCATGTAAGGTAAAATACCAGAAACATGAAAAAAAAGTTAAGAAAATTCTATCTATAAAAATTTCGCAGTTATGAGAGTTTAAATTTTGCACTTTGATTCTATTTACCTCTGTTATGAAAACAATTTTCCAAGTTTTTTTGCTACAGGCTATTAAAGGAGGAAACAAGGAAAAATTGTAACTCTGTTTAATGGTATTTGGGCTTTTATTAGTAAAATTTTTGTACTTTTAACAAATGATTATAAAAAAGCATATAGAAGTTTATGAGTATCATTAAATAGACATAAAAAAGGTCAAATGTCAAAAAATAAATGGTAAAATTTTTTGACAGTTAGAATTTTTTAAATATTTTTTCCATGTTTCTGGCATTTTATTTTACTTAAAATTTTTCTCTGGGGCGCGAGTTCTGACATCTTGTATAAAAACCATTCAAAAATTTAATGCACTGGAATGTGATTGGTCCGGTTGAGGTAGACTTTTGACTATAGATTCATTGAAAAACGTAGCGCAATTGGTTAATTCAATTTTACAATTATTCACTAAGATAAATCCAGTTTTTAATCAAAATGTTGTATGTGCTCTTTATGATTTTATGAGCCCTGCGCTTTCTACGTGAGAATGTTTGTGACGGAGAATTTGCGCTTTATTACGTTTCGTTGTACTTGATTGAGAAATAAAACTTTAAACTTTAAAATAGAAATAGAAATTTATTGTGTGTGCTTACAAACACAATGTAATTTGCAGACGAGAATATAAAAGTGTATTTTTTTTAATCTAAACATTTTCTTGTAAGAAGTGGGGCAAAATAACATTAAACAGAGTTACAATTTAGGATACAGCTTCCTTGTGTTCTCTTCTAGTAGCCTGTAGCAAAAAAAAACTTGTAACATTATTTTTGAAACAGAAATAGAGTCCAAATAGAGTGCAAAATTCTAACTTTCATAATTTTAAAATTTTTATAGATAGACTTTTTTTAACATTTTTTCCATATTCCTGGCATTTTTTTCTGGGGCGCGAGTTCTGGCACGTCCTGTATTGGGATCTAAAGAATTACTTGTATATTTACATATTTCTTAAGAAGTATAGAAATTAAAAATAACAAAAAGATGTACACTCGTAATGTTTTAACACAAACTAACAATAATTGTTCTATAACGACAGAGAAGGAAAAATGAAATAATTTAAGAAAACTATAAAAAAACTAAATGTGTAGATTTAATATTAATGTTAATCATTATCTAAGAGCAGCCATAACAATTATATTTTTAATTGATTATTATATTTGTTTTAGATACGTGTTTCAGTCCGTTAATATAAATTAATTATTATTTATCTTCTCTGTCTACTAGTTCTTAGTAAAAACGATTATTGTTTGACATTTTAAATTTTTTCATATTTCACTGCTTTCGACAGATATTTTTCACTCTATCGGTCAACGAGAAATTTAATTAACAGATCTGCGATATTTTTTGTGAAAATAAGATATTTCAATGCATTTTAACGATTTTCTCTGATGAGCAATTTTACCTTTTCAAATTTTTTTAACGTTTTCTAGATAAACAAATATGTAGAATTATTTTAAAATCTAAATCCATTTTTCTTCTCTAGAAACGAAACTATCAGTTTTCTTCTTCAATAAATTTCCAATTGCTTCGATAAATGGATAAAAATAAATGGTTTGTCGTTAATTTAACTTACACTTCTCTCATGTATAACTACAAAAAGTTGCGTTAATGACGTTATGTAGCTTTCCTTCAAGCTATATGTATTGCTGCAAATGAACTTAAAACTGCTTCGACACCTAACCTTTACCCCATAAAAGTCCATCACCCGGAGAACTGCGAGTATAAGCTCTACTCACCTCTTCCATCCTTTGAAGGTTTGAACTTTGACATATAATCCATGTTGTCGTTTTGTTAAATTATTCCGTTGTGTATGATTAACCGTATACATGGAAAGTCAAACTCAAATACTCAATGGCTAATTGAAGTTTAAAGTTAAAATTACCCGATAACTGCTGATAGGTAATTATTGAATTAACAATGTTGTTAGCAGATTGTTATAACTTGGCCACCACATATGAACACAAAACGAAGTCAATTCTATTCTCTTAATCAGACATTACTCATGAGGATAGCAGTTTGGTTTAAAAGTTTAGTTTTTCAGTAGTTCCTGTCGTCACTTGAATACGCGTGGGCTTGCAGTAAATTGTACAACTTTAGCGTAATCCTTTGAGGAACATCGTATCTTCGAGTTTGCATTCAGGGAGTTTAAGAGTTAGTTTAACTATTGATGGATACCTACGTTTATTAAATTAAAACAGGAAGTCGTGATGAAGGATTTTGTGTCGAGACACATGGGTTGTTTATACTTTATTGCACTAGATAGCTGATTTTAGTGAAGATAATTACGACGACGTCACAACATTGAACTAAACTACAAGTTTAAACTTGCCGAAGTACTAACTGTCAACTTGCTTTTAGAGCTGGTTAATACAATGTTGAGAAAAATGAGACAAAATATGTGACTCTGGAATAAAACAAAACACAGTTGCATAGTTATTAGTATAAGAAACATCTTTGTTCTTTAAGAATTTTTATTAATAAATAAAATGTGTTAACCTGCTATACTAAAAATGAGATTTTATGGGACTCATCACATAAAACATTTTTATTAGTTCCAATCAACGTTAGTATAAAAATTGGTTTTTACGTTCAATACATAAAAACATAAAATTTTATTACAATTAGGTAATGACTATAAAATTTATGGATTTAGAGATATGCATGGAAAACAATTACACACAGAGCTTGATCAAAAGATTTTTTATGCATAGCTTAAGGTAAATGTAATTTATTCGAATGATTGATTGCGTCTTGCGTGTAGAACATTTTTTATTATTATGGTAATGTAGTAACTATAATTGAATTAATAATTTTACATTATTATTCAAATAAGTTATTGTAGTAGCTACTACTGTTTTATTTTATATCAAGCTTTATTTGCGTAGTTTTTTGAGAAATATTCATTGTTATCCTTTAT